AACTAATACCGTTCAATATTTATTCAAAAAAAATACCGTTCAATATTAGGATTTGGGCTACTTTTTTTATGTGATTAACATAAAAAAAATACTTATTTGACTTTTTAAAAAAAAAATTAAAAGGTAAAGTCAAATATATACGGATATATCGGTGCCAAATAAATTTCACACTTTTCTTTTGGAGGCAGGTGTAAAATAAGTTTTTTCCCCCAAAAAACATTACTTAAACAAAATTTATTTACATAAATATGACTAATAGTTACTATACTAATGTAGTGTCATACTGTCATGATAATTTAAGTTTAATAATTGAACATAAGTTATTATGTTTTTATTACTAGTCTAGTTTTTGTCAACAATCTTTATTTTTAGTTATAAATATATAATTATTTCCTAAAATAAAGGCTACACTTCTATTTTGGTAAGTTTTTAATATAAAACTATCTTTATAGTCTGATATTATTATGTGCTTTACACTCAGTTTATCTCTCTCACTTCACCTAGAGCTCATTTGGTAGTACCAAAATTGACAGAACCGGTTGATTCTGCTGAAATTTATGAATTTCTGACTAAAGTTGTTGGATTGAGTGATTATGCTGATTTGTGAAAAAATATCTAAAACATATTTCATTAATAAAATAAAGAAAAAAGTATATAAAAAATAGCTAAATGATTTTCTACAGTAACTTCAACCAATACAGCCAGAAAAGTAACTGCAATCTTACCTTTTTTTATTACTATCGTATTACACAATTCAACGCTCGAAATAAGAAAATATGTTGTTGGTGGGAAAATTGACTGATAAGCCGAAAAACATAGTTACCAAACGAGCTCTTAATCTATTTGTGTAGTGTTATAATAGGAAAGTCAAAAGTTCAACTATTTTAAAAATCGTAAAGTCAAAGTGTGATGTTTATTTCGAGTCAATAAAATGTTATTGTTAAGAATTAAGATTAGGTCAACCTAATAGGAGACGTAACTCAAATCTTAATATAACACTTTATATCTCTCAAGACCAGACATTTTATCTAGATCATGATGTTATTCAATCTTTCAACCGGTTCGTCATTTCATTTTTTTATAATAAAAATAGTCATTTTTTCATAGGGAACCCACACCATGATTATTGACCGATTTGACTCTAATACCGGTCTTAAAGTTTATTTCACGGCCTTAAAGTTTATTTCACGGATTAGTAAGCACTTTTTATTATAACAGTTTTATTTACACGTAGTTTAATAAGAAGTGCTTAATAAACATAAGTTTAGAAATGGATTATTATGGATACATTTATTGAAATATGATTTAACTCTAAAACGTTAATAACTTTGAAGGACTTTATCTTTCCTTACTAGCACTCTCGCCCTCACCCCTTTCCCCAACTCCAACCCCTTGTCCCTACACTGACCATCCCAATGTAGACACGGTAGTAGGGGTAGGTGAGAAGTGGGATGAGGTGAGTGTACGTAAGGTTAGGGTGGATGTTGGGGTGGTTGGGTTAGGGGTATGTAGAGGTGGGATGATCCGGTGATTTTCATTATGAGATGTAAGGATGTATATAACCGTCAATATAAAACAATTTAATACGGAGTATATTGCTTAATAAAATATGAGGGTAAAATCTTTACTTAATGCAAGAGACAGGCCAAGTCAAGCCAAGTGCAATTAGTGCAAGTGCACATGGGCCCCAATTTCAAGAACGCCTCCATTTTTATTAGCATAGTGTTATCCGTAGGCCCATTAATTTTTCTTAGACTTAAATGTGTTTTTTGCCCTTGCAAATAAGATACACTTTATTTTATGCCCGTGTAATTTTTTTCATCTCTGTATTATGCATTATTTTGTTTTTAGTCCATCTCAAATTCTAAAACCAATCATTTTAAGAAAAAAATATTGCCAGTTGTATAAATCTACTTAAAACTTTTGAATTTATCCATTTATAATTTTTAGGCTAATATGAGAGTTAAAACAATGTAAATTAAAACTGATCAGTCAGATTTTTGAAATACTTTTGAAATAACATGACAAAGAATTAGAGGAAACCTATTAATCGGGGTTCTTACATTGTCAAACGGAGGCCGTTATCATCGGTGATAGACTAAAGAGAAAACCTACATAAATTTCAGGGGTGAAAAAGAAAAAATAAATTTGCAGGGACGTAAAACAAAACATATTATATTTGCATGAACTAATAACATATTTAAACCTTTTTCACCAACTAACCATTAGAAAACAGCCCAACCTGATCCTATTAGTGAAGAAGCATGCCTTCCTGCCTGATTGGTCATCCGCGTAATGAGAGCCGGGAGCGATGAGTCCTTGACAGATCGTTTATCTTCACTTTCTTTAGTTGATTTGGGATGTTTTTAACTGGACTAAACTTTCTGATTTAGTATATTTAAGTATGGTTGGACTGAACTGATTAGTGCTGGTGGATATCTGATCTATATGTATTTTATAACTGCTGAAGTCTGATCTGGTCTGACCTAGTCTGTTCTGGTCTGTATAATAAACTGATCTCGGATTGAAACCTAACTAGTAAATACATCCTTAAATGTGTCGGGAGCATCTAAAAGTTAGATTGAAGGTGTACTTAATTGTAGCAAAATTCATTAGGAATATACAATAACAATAATGATGAGATGGTGATGATAATAACTTTGTCGTGCCTAAAATACAAGTAAATTGTAAAGAAAGTTGGTGTAAAGTTAAGGAAAATTTCTCGAGATACAACTAAAATGTTGTACGACTGAACAGCCAAAAAAAAATTCATCATACAAAAATGTTGAATGACGAAACTAGTCTTATTTAAAAAGAGGCATTTTACACTTCTTGTCACAATCACTATAGTTTTCGTATATATTATATTGTGGCACTATCAATTTGCTTTGGTTCAATTTGCACTATCATTGAGCTATCCCTCAATGCATTTAGTCACTGCATGAGTTCAATGCCAATGAGTAAAGAAAAAGAGGAAGACGAAGAGGAAGAAGAAGAGGTGACTCCAAGCAAGAGAAGAGATTAGTAAGCCTGAATTTTATAATAATAATAGGTTAAGGGCATGTCAGTCCATATAAATTTATTTATTAATTTATTTATTAAATGCATTATTTAAATATTATTAATTAAATATTTTTTTAGGGAAAAGCTAACTAGTTCATAGGTTGAAAATGTAAGAGAGTTTTAACCATGCATGGGATAATTTTCTCTAAAACCAAAAGGCAAATTTCACTTATCTACTACTCCCTCCGAATTTACTTCCAATTGCGGGTTACGAAGTTTGACCAACGATAAAGTTAAATGATTCCTGTGAAAATTCAGATTATTTTTAGTAAATAAAATTTACATATTCAGAAACTACATTAAAACCGCTACAAAACCTGCAAAAAAATTCGATTTTCATAAAGTTTTGTTATATAAAGTAAGAGTTTAAGAGTGATTTAAGTTGACTCTCGAAAAACAAAATAGAAGTAAATTCAGGGACAGAGGGAGTACATTACAGGTATAATTTTGTCTAAAAATTAAAGGCAATTTTCACGTCTCTACTGATACATTTAATATAAAGGCAATCCTCCCTCATCAATTTTCTTTTAAGGTTTTTCCTAAAAAATTGTTTAAATTAAATTAATAGATAAAAATGTTATATTTCAATCTTTTCTTTTTAAGATTCAGTTTTACTTTTTCTTGTATTTAATACTTAGTATATTGTTATTTCTTTTTCTTTCTTTCTATAGTTACGATAGTTGCACGTAATGACATATCACAATCATATTATTCAAAGTTTGTGGTAAGCATTTTAGTGCTTGAAAAGATCGAGTACTCCAAAGCTTTTATGTATTCTCCATTACTAGAGTATATAACTTCGATCTTAGGGATCAATTTCTAGCCGCATAGCTTCGTAATATATGTAAAGTTTCTCCATATAACGTTATTCTAAATTTTTTACTCATACTTTATTTACAATGTACTATCGTATTAAATAGTAGATACGTATTTACTTGAAATTCATAAACATTATCGGGCTCTCTCTGAACTCATGTAGTGTTTGATTTGATCATATCTATTTTGTTTCATTTCACGCCATTTCAAGCGTTTTGTAACGCATTAGAAAGATCTTATCAAGTTTTAAGACTTGTATTCAAACTTCATTTAAATTACAAAATATTAGAGGATAGATATGTGTTACTCAGAAATTAAAAGAACATTGTTGAGTACACTTCGAACATGTATACTATCTGTCTCGATCATATCTTTCTGTATTCTTACAAACTCTTACCACTAAACATTTTTCTATGATCTATAAAATAGATACGTAGTAGTTTTTTGGATCACAATCAAATACAAACTTTCCATACGCGTATTTGAGTCTTTCGTCCTATTTTAATCCAAGGGAACAAAATTAGAACAGGTTCCATCCGGGTCTAAATTTGTCTTAATCTGTACGCACAGTTGTTAGAGAAGATCTATTAATTTATTGAAAACGTGCATGCCACAAACATTATATCATCATTAACATCTTATCAAAGGGGTAGGCTTACAATTATATTTTCAAATCAATCTCCATCTACCGGGCATAACATGCATGCGGAACAAAACACAACTCATTTGATTAACACTCCAGGCCTCCAGCCTGGATTGTTATGCACCATTCTAATTAAATCTAATTGTATCGTATTAATTAAGGACTAAACCGTGTTGGTTGTCTTAGTCAAACGTCGGTGGCAATTGTAGATGTTTTTACTTGGTTTGGACCATATTTAAATAGGTGACAACTCCGGTACTCATTTAAAAATGGGATACCGTACCTACCATCAATCTGATTGGTCCAAGTCATTATATCATTTTTAATTTAGATTTAAATAATTCAACTTCAACATCCTGATTGATCCATGTGGACAAATGTATGATACCTTATAGATACCGTAGAAACTACCATTTAAATATAGGGCTTTGGTTCGGGATTCTCAAGAGCTTCTCAAGACTCATTACCCATTAGTGAATGCCACTCGGGAGACAACTAAAGGGCTATCTATACTTGACGAAGCTCCCATGTGGATTAGGAAGTTTGTCCACGAGAATGCTTATAGTCTTGAGCATATTAGATTTTAATTTTCCTTCTTTTTTTCCCTTTCTGATGCATCAAAAAACAGACCAGGTAATGTTTAAATAGATAAGGTCAAACTTTTAAAAAAGGGAAAGTTCCCGAAATAAGTCTAAAACAGTTTGAATATTCCAAAATAGAACTATCATGTTTTTTATTTCCAAAATAGGAGTAATTACTGCCAAGTTTGGAAAAGTTCCCAAAATAGGACTAAAACAGCTTGAAGATTCCAAAATGGGATTGTCATGTTTTTTATTTTCAAAATATTAGTAATTACTGCCAAATTTGGAAAATACTGCCTTGTTTGAAATCTGGTACAACCAAAATATGGTAATAATTAAGCCTATTTTGGGAATAAAAACATGGTAGTCTTATTTTGGAATTTTCAAATCTTTTTAGTCCTATTTCAGATAATATTCTTCAGTCTATTTTGAAATTTCCAAACTTTTTTAGTCCTATTTCGGGTAATATGCTCTTTAAAAAATTATATGAGACTTTGATAGTTATAAAAGCAGATACACAAGATAAGTGAGACAATTATTGACCAATCAAATGAAATAAAAAAAATTCAGTCTCGAAAATTGAAAAATCAGGCTCGCAGTGAAAAGCTTGCTAAGGCTGGTGCATACGGGGTTTCGGCCCAAATGAAAAAAAATCGCCCTGACAACGGCCCGCCTTCGTCTTCAACAACCACTCTACCAGTCGACCAGTCATCGGCCGAGACTGCATCAGTCCACCGGCGTCCGCCGCACTATCAGACGAGGGACGACTGGAAGACAACTGAACCAGCGTCCTCCGAAGCTCTGAGACCCATCCACCGGATATCGTTGACCGACTGCCCAGCGTGATTGCGTCTGTTCGCCGCACTGTACGCCGCAAAAATTCCGGTTTCTGACTTACTACTCAGCCAGGTAAATCTAGTTCAAAAATTAATTCCAGATTTTTTTTTTAAAGTTAGAATAAATAGCCGGTTTAATTACTGAAGTATTTATGTTCTAAACTCGGTATTCTTCTTGCGATTTGCAAATATGTCTGACTTTATTTCATATATAACGGTTGACAAATTGACCATAAACAAATGCACTTCTTTTGGCCTTTTTGGGGCTAAACTTTATTATGAGTTGTATTCGACGTTTTCGGGCAACAATAATATAATTTTGATTTGTGTGGGTTAATATTAATTCCATAATCTCATTTTTTTTAGTACGGAGTACTACATACGGAGTATTAATCTCATCAGTATTAATATCATTGTCGGCATCAATCCCATTGGTTAGATGTTTGGCATTAATGCCATTGATATTAGGGAAAAATAAAGAAAAGATACTTATGGGTGGGCTAGGGTCATGTGTTTCATTTTTTTTATCAAAGTGGTTCATGTGTTTGAATTCTGTTATCACAAGAGGGTCACGCCGTTAAAAACGCTACAGAAAGACGTTAATATTAAGTCCAATTTTCAAAAGTGCTCGGAAAATTAAAAGAAAAACGTTGAAAGGTGTGCTTCGTCAAGATTGACCTCCAAACCACCTTCGCCTTTGGATTTTGCGGATCTGTTTGGATTATTTTTTTAAAATGATTTTGCTAATATCACTTTTCCAGTGGACTTTCCGGTGACAAGGGTGGCTGGAAACAAAAAAGAAAGATGACCTAGCGGTCGTCTCGTTGAGGTGCACCTTCCGGTATTTTTCATTTAATTTTTCGGGCACTTTTGAAAATCAGAGTTACTATTAACCGTCTTTCTCAGGCGTTCTTAATGGCGTGATCCTCTGGTGATATCGGAATTCAAACACATGAATTACTTTGATAAAAAATGAAACACATGACCCTATCTGAAAACGGACTCAACCACAAGTACTTTTCCGTACTTTTCCCTTAATATTACAACATTAATCCCATATTCCCATTAGCTTTTGTTGTTATTAACCCTATTGTTTCTAATATACTTGTGATGACCTTTTTACTGTTGGATAACGTATCATATGATGTGAATCATGTGATCGATTTTTGTAGAGATAAATAAGCTAATGAAGATAAGTTTAAACAGATACTTTAGATCAACTTGAAAGATATACTGTTGATGTGTGCTCTAACTCTACATTTAAGGTGTTGAAAGGACCATGTTGGTAGACTTCGACATTGAAAGAGTTTTTATGGATAAATTGAGCAATCAAATGAGTGATGACCGGCTCAACGATAGACTCCTTGCTTATGTAGGAAATACTCCTTCCGTATCAATTTAATTGACCTATTTGCTTTTCACGCAGTTTAAGACAATTATTGTAGACTTTATTAAAAGTAAGAGGTTTTTGGTACTGTAGCGACACTGTAGCAGTACTGTAGCTGCTTTTTGAAAAGGATTCTTTCCAAAAAAGGAAATGGGTCAATTAATTTGATACACCAAAAAAGGAAAGTAGGTCAAGTAATTTGATACGGAGGGAGTAATATCTTTTTGAGAATTGACAGTGATGTCATTATTAAATGATATCTATCTATGAAAACCTGTAGACAAAAAACATGAATTTGTCACGTGTTTTTAATATTTGACTAGGATGAGAACTCTTATTTTAGCAAAACATTTGTAATATTTATTTAATTATTGTTGTATTTGACCTTTTTGATGCATTAAAAGTTATATTACATATACGTAGTATTATATATGAAATATTTTCCCCTGGATTGAAATGCTAGATCCACCCTGCCTGTAACTGTGAGTCCAAAACCCACACTATCAACCAAATTGTATTCTAGCAAAATGTAAATATACATACATAGAATTGATGTAATAAATTATACTACGTATATTGATTTTTATGTAATATTTCTTGCTCTTAACCTTATTTTTGGACTTCTCAATTGGTGGACCAAAAAATATTATTGGGCAATAGATAAATCATTAACGTATGAGTGTAGCCAGAAAAAGTAACATGGGGGCGCACAAAGATTTTTTCAAAGAATTTATTAGCAGTTCATTGGGAGTTGTGCTGAGAACTCGCAATATGCTTAATCAATTAGGTAGCTTCTTGTGTGCAGTGATACAGTGTTAAGAACGTGGAAGACAAGCTTCGGGGAATGTGATTTATAAAAAAAATGAAAAAAAAAACATACAATGCCGAGTAGTTAAAAAAAGTGAACCATAATGACAGCCAAACATGCTGTTCTAGTTTTCTTTAAGGGTGTCTAGTTCTCTTGATTTTCTCATATGCAGCTAAACGAACTCATATCTGCAATTCTGCAGATAAATATAACACTACCGTAGACTGCCAAATCTCTCTAGTGAATCATTCACATGCTAGGAGTTTGTACATTTTATGTTTAATTCACAGTTTATATATATATTTCGTAAAACGTACAGCTCTAATGCCTGTATCAATTCAACTAGACTCTAGTATATTATGGATTTGACCCACTTGTATAGGTTTGCATATATTTAACATGGGTTGCTCCAAGACAAAGTGATGGTGGAAGATCCTCATTCAGTTAATAGTCCTCGAAGGATTCTCAGTTTTACAAAAAACAAGAGGGCAACTGTTGTCTTCCCAGATTCAAATCAAAAGGTTTCAGAATTTACTCTTCCTGGGGATCACGGACCCAATCCTTCTGAAGTTTATGGATTTGTTGGGTCTATTTCTACCGTTGTTGCTGCAGGTTCAATTCATCCTTCTTCCTATTAGCACATTGGTTGTTAACTACAAATATTGCTTGCTCCCTTCATTCATTTAGTGTGTTTGGAGCATGAAAAGCAATATGGAAAGAAAACAGGGAGGAAAGTATAGGAGATATTTTGAAAAAATAAGAATGTTGAGGGGGAAATAATTTGTTGGTTCATACTCAAATAGATTTATATTTTATATTTGTCCACACATTTTGTTAATTTTTCCTTTTATACTCGAAGCAATGTTTCTAAACTCTTTCAAAACAAGTAAAGATTCTAAACATGTGGTGGGGAAAACATAAAAGATAACTCAAATTTCCGGTATCTACATCCTGAGCTAAAACCTAATACTCCGTACAAGAGAAAGTCTTTTTTCAGCAATTTTTTTCCTGTTCGTATATCATTTTTCGAGATCCAAACACGCCCAAAAGAATTGGGACTTGGGGAGACTAAAGGGGAGTTCCAAATGTGTGTCTGTGTTTTTTTAGGACTATTGTGGATTGACTATAAGCAATATTGTTAGATTCATCATCTTGATACTTACTTTTTGGCAAGAAGGCTTTCCCACATTATTCTTCACTTGAAGGTTTCAGGAAAATCACTCAGATAATGAATTTGAGGCTCTTGGAACACACATTTAGAGTTTTCTCTTAGGTTATTTCCTTTATTTAGTTTTCCTTTTTCTTTGTAGTTATTTCTCAGAATTGTTTGTGCTAATCTCCAAGACTTTCATGTGTTTATTGTGATTGTGAGATTCATGAACATTTATGGCATTCCTCTCTCTGGACGGGCACATTTAATTATTTACTTGTCGACTTGTCGTCCAATTTCCTTTATTGATTTGCGCAGTTATCTTTCTTGTGTGGGCATATGTCCCAGAGAATTGGTTGCATTCAGTCGGGATCTTCTACTATCCAAGCAGGTGAATACAATTGAAACTCAGGGACCATGGACTAACTGGATAATTATATGTTTTTCTTGAAAACTGGAAAATACATTTACTTTATTATTTTCCAGAAATAGAAAAAGTAAAAACATGTTTCTAATATCTCAAAAAAACAAGTGATAGTTTTACATGCTTCTCTACCTGTTGCAAATCGCAATCTTGTAAAGAAGGAAATATGAATAAACTATCTAAACATCAAAATATGCCAACTCGTAGACAACTTGAATTTCTTTATCATGACGAAGAACAAGGGGAAAAAATGTACATACAATATACGCTGACACTTTGTAAACATTAAGAGCCTTTTTGGTAAGACTTATTTGGCTGAAATGGCTGAACTTTTTGAAAGGAAAAGCTTTTGGTGACCTCCGTTGCGGCCAATATTTTTTCAAAAGGTACTTATTTTTAATTATTCTGCAGACTCTGCTGCAAAATAAGCCACTTCTAAGCCTAAATCCTCCTATTCAGTGAATAAGTGAGCATAAATAAAAACAGCTTATAACTACTTATAGATGGTTTAGAGAAATGAAGGTTTTATGAACATATATGCATATTTGTGACTGAGCATGCAAATATCTGTCAACATTCTCATGGAGAGAATAATATGCTTCTGGTTTCATGGTGAATTCAGAGCGATGCCTATGATCTGTAAAGTAATTCTTTAAAGATTATTTTATAATAAAACATAGCTCCTTTACTGCCATTTTTCGCTTATTTGCTTATTAGGTCTTACAACCAATTGTTTACAGGTACTGGGCATTGGCTGTGCCAGCGTATGTTATGATGAGCATAGTTCTATCAGTAACATTTTACATTGGTCTCAACTTCATGTCCACACCTCCCCCCACTTCTTTCACCACCATGTTTGGTAAATCTCAACCTGTAAACAGTTTTAGTTAGGAAAGCACACTTTTCTGAAATTCCATAGGGGGTCTGTTTGGATGGCTAATTCTATATATATATATATATATAGACTTTGGTTCAGGTGAGAAATGCATCTAATGTGAGAAATGAGAATGAATCTCAGCCATTGGATTTACGAAGTTGCACTAAAATTGGCTTTATGTTGCAATAATATTTAAATTTTGCACATGTTGCACTAAAACGGTTTCATGTTGCACTAATATTTGACGGCGTTGCACCGAAATAGCTTCATGTTGCACTAGACATGTGTAATACGGATTTTTCAGAAGTATTTACAGAAATGTCACCGTGCTAGATTGCATATTTCAGTGCATCATGAAGTGTCTTTTACTGCAACTTAGTCGAATTCAATGGCTGAGATTCATTCTCATTTCTCACCCAAAGGGTTCTTCTCACCTGAACCTTACCCTATATATATATATATATATATATATGTATGTATATATATGGTCTGAAATGAAAGAGGCTTGAGATTGTGCATCTTAGGCCTACCTTGCACAATCATTCTCATATATATGTGTGTGTGTGTGTGTGTGTGTGTAGGAAAAATATTCCGTCGAGCTGTCCAGACAGGATCCATCCTCTGTCCGGCTGCTTCAATTTGAGGTAGTTCGCGGTGTAGTTTTTAATGAAAGTTTGTGAGCATGTTCTTCATGAAATGTAGTGCTCACAAAGTTTCAGCTCAAAATTCAATTAGGTAGTCAGTTAAATAAATTAATGACACTTTTTATATAAACTTCACGTAGCTTTTTTCAATAATTTAAATAAATGACTTCCTGAATTGAATTTTAAGATGATATTTTGTTGACATAATTTACACTTCATTAAGAACATGGTCACAAAATTCGTTAAAAAGTTCCACCCAAAACATCTCAAATGAAGGCGACCGCATGGCCGTTCTTGTTAGGCCGGCCTGATAGAATCATGCCTCTATATGCATATGGGGTCATATAAAAGTGAACTTAACTTACAAAATGCAAATGGTTAAGGTGCGTTGGATTTAAATATCTAAGGGCTGAAGCGTGAAGCACTTACAATGACATTTTGGTAAATAAACCAAATTATTTCGGATGCAACACTTTGAACGTTAATACGTAACCATTTATTTCATGGCAAAATAATATGCAACTTTTTGAAGATCAATATACAATACAAATAGCATAAAGATGTATTGTACAAAATTTTACAGATTAGTGCACTTTGTAATAGATCCGCCCTTATTTATTTTGAGATTCTATAAAAGTTAAGTCATAACATATAGGGCTCTCATACAAATATATCAATCACCCCAGTTTTATTATCATTCAATTTATCAAGATGTAGCCGGCCAAAGGCATCAATCCAAACCAACCCTTTACTGTGTGTCTTGTGTTGGATGTGTATGACTGTGATTTATGTACTTTTATGGCCTGTTTAGTATTATTATAAGGCTTGATCATCTGGATTTTCTTCTTTAAAATTGAATTTCGCTAAATAAGTAAAATGCTACTTATAAGTACAATAAGTGGATTAATGCTATCCAATTGGGACTTGGAATTGTAACATAGCTCATTAGCTTGTCTGTTGTAGTAGATGTCTTGAACCTGTTGTGTTTTCATATTTGCAGATGAATTCAGTAGAGAACCATTGCTGAGTAGTGCTTTTATAGACGATGAAGATGATGAGCGACCCATTGATCCGATCTCTGATATCGGCATTGATCAAATTAATAAAATAATGTTTCAGAATTTTGATTAACATTTGTTCGCTAGTCACCACTAGCAGCCTTATAACATTGCTTTGTATGTCGCCATAGTTGGTAATTGTGATCAATAGAAGAATTAAAGAAAACAGATTTACGCAGACGGAAATCATGAGATGAACACGGTCCACATAACCACACTCCAAAAGTAGATCAGATTCCCCTTAAGCTTTGTCAATGATGTACTGTTCTTTTTTTTTAGTAAATCTGAAAATCCAAAAAAATTGTGTCAAATGCTAATATTATAAAGAAGTTTTAATCTAAATGTTACTCCATTAAAAAGTAGGAACAAAAATAAGATGACTTTAAAATTGTGTTAAATGCTCATATATGTTGCCGACGATCACTGCAATCACAGCTAATGGCATGTATCATCCTTGGGAGTGATGAACCTAACGTGAATTTGCTTCTCCAGTTCTCCATTGTGCAACAAGATCTCAACTTTGACCAGACGATGGACTTCAGGTGTGGACTTTGAAGCTTGTTGGAAGGACGATAGCATGAAAGAATGCCATCAGCACCTGTGAAATGCCGATCTTCAAATGCTGTTGCAACATTTAATAACAGGAAATGTTTATTCCATGTAGTGGTGGACTCGGGTCGGGCCGCCCGACCCGCTACTGTGCGGGACCGGCCTGGTTCTCGGGTCCGGGTCCGGGCTCGGGTCTTACAAATGGCGAATCGGCCTGGCCGGGTCGGCCCCGGGCCAAATTATTTTTTCCCCTTTTTTTGGGGTTCCACCCGGGTTGGGGTTGAGGGTTAGGAGGGGTTTTGGGGGGTTAGGAAAGCAAAAAAAAAAAAAAAAAAAAGGAGGCCCGGCCCGGACCCGGTGGCCCGCCCGGGCCTAGGCCGGACCCGGCCCAGCCCGAGTCCATGCCTGATTCCATGTCCTGTGAGAAATGCGAAAGCATAGAATGGTTAACTTGGAATACATACACATAATGTGTGTGTAAACGTGTTACTGTAATATAGAATTGCAGTCTTGTAGAGTAGGGATTTATAAATGTTAAGGTATATTTTAAAGAAGTTATCATGTATATTGAAGAAATGGAGAATAAAAGTCGTAACATACCCCCCTGCCCCAACTGCACCCTCTAAGTGCAGCTGTGCAGCCTCAAATGGGCGAAGTGGTCGTGACCAAAAGAAAAACACATACAGCTACTAGCAGGGTGGACACACTTCAAGTTCCGGAACTGAATATGACCACAACCAGTTAAGTACTTAAGTGAAGGAACCAATTCAGCACCCACAATTTTGGTTCCGGACTGTTGGACCGGAGCTGATATGCAAAACGGGTTCGAATCAGTTCCAATACTTTCAAATTAGGACCGGAACTTAGCGGTTATGATTTATTAATTTTCATTGAAAAATAGATTTAAAAAACAGAAATGGGGCTGTTTCACTTGAATCTTTTACCTTTACCTACATGTGCGTGCAGAGAGCCACACACATTGCTGTGAGTGCAGCCCTTTTGCAACTAGGCATGGACTCAATCCCGGTCCCAAACAGTACCGGACCCAGTTTCGGACTGGGCCAGACCGAATCCATGCCTACTTTGCAACTAGACTGAGACTACCACTAGTTTCAGTGGAAAGCACCATATGCCAGTGTCGGATTGTCAGCACAGGGAGAAAAGCAAACACAGCTCCCTAACAGGATCCACCTCCATGCCTGATTTTATAGCAATCATTCACTTCATTGGTAAGCTTTGGGAATACCTCTATGCTATTTATAGTCAATCCCACTTGTCAATCAAATACTCCGGTATGTGCTTATTTATAGTTGTGCGAATGTTGGAGAAAGAAAGACTTTTTTTTCATGACCAATAAAAACCAAAAACAATCTTAAAATAACAGTACTTGGAAAATTGAGGTATAATAAATAACACATCCGCAACAGGACAGACATTGTATTAATCCACAACGGTCAAGATTGAGAAATATCTGCAGCCGTTCCTACCACATAAATTGCTAGTTGAAGCCTCGAAGGTGTATTTAGTTCAGGAAATATAATAATCGACAGACACTGTAAACCAAAAGAAAAACAAACACAGACGCACATACAGACAGTCCACGGAATAGTCCTGCTCCTGGGCAATACCCCAACCTCTTGCTACAGTCCTTGCTACCTTCAGCCCTTTTCCAGTAAAGTAGCTGATCTGACTAAACTGTCCTTGAACTGAAAATGCTCCTTTCACTACTTGGTTGATGCCATCCGTCCATACATCGATCAGTCGATCTTCACAGACGAGTATATCTTCCGGACGAACCAGAAGCATGCATAAAAGCCGATCGTTCCAGTCAATACAAAGAAGGCATATGATGCAATCAACATGTACCCAAAATACAAAAGGCCCGAGACCAGCTTTGTAATTTCCAACTTAGTGAAGAAGTAGAAAATGGAGTAGAGGAAAAGGTAAAAAGCTGAGGAACCAGAAGTCAGATATGCCCTCCACCACCAGTGATAGTCTTCACTGCACAGCTGGAAGTAGCACAGAACGACAGTTATTTCAGCACATGTGATCAGCAAGATCACAAAAACTATGAAGAGGAACCCGAAGATGTAGTAGAACTGGTTCAGCCATATGGATGTCAAGATAAAGAAGAGCTCAATGAAAACAGCACCAAAAGGAAGAATCCCACCAATAAGGATGGAAAAGGCTGGCTTCATGTACCATGCTTGTTCAGGTATTTGCCTTGGGATCTTGTTTGTCTTCACTGGGTCTTCCATAGCCGATTTTTTGTAACCCAAATAGCTCCCCACAAAAACTAAAGGCACTGAGATGCCAAACCATAAGCAAACGAGAGCAAACATGGTTCCGAATGGGACAGCCCCGGAGGATCGTTCCCCCCAGATGAGAGCATTCAGTACAAAGAAGACCCCAAAAAGAATCCCAGGGAACATGAATGCAGTTTTTAAGGTGATCCGTTTCCACTCTGTTCCTTTAAACATTTTGTATAAGCGTGATGATGAATAACCGGCAAATAGGCCCATGAAAACCCACAATAGAACCATGGCTGTCATAAGCCCACCTCGGTTGGAAGGTGAGAGGAAGCCCAACACAGCAAATATCATCGTCACAAGGGTCATTGCAAATATTTGAACGCCGGTCCCCACATAAACACATAGTAACCCAGAATTAATAGGAGGCCTAAAAACGTCTCCATGGACAAGCTTCCACCCTGTTTCTTCCTGAGCCTCATCTTGTGTTTCCAATTGATTGTAGTTAGCAATGTCTTTGTAGAGAGTTCTCATCATGATCATGGCAACCATACCAGAAAGGAAGAGAACGATCATTAGAGAGTTGATGATGGAGAACCAGTGGATCTGATCATCATTCATTAGCAGATAAGTGTCCCAACGTGAAGCCCATTTTATTTCACTTTCCTGGAACAATAAAGCAAGGATAGAGAATTAAGATCCAAATATCCCCCCACTTAAAAAACAGTGAGTATATGACTTCCTGTGAGAAAAATAATACCTTGAAAGACACATCATAAGTGAAGATAATCTCTTTATCTGTGTCTACTTCTTGTGGAACAGTACTCCCCTGAATCATCTCTTTTGTTTTCTGAGTGCAAGTTGTCACCTGAGGGTTCTTCTCATCCCACTCTTTGTACTCGTGATTAATGCTGTCCATAGAAGTCAAGTACGAAGAGATCAGAACACAGATCATATTCAACTTGAAAAAAACAGCACTAAAAATTAATGAACGAGTTGTCAAATGAAGAAAGAAGGATCAAGTATAAGCATATAAACCTGTTTGGAGTAACTTCAAATCCCACTATTCGAGCAGTATCTTCCGCAAGATCCCTGTGGTACATAACTCTAAAGCTCAAGTGGTTATTTATAAAATATTTCTCCACTTTACTCTGCAAAAGCAAGTAAATGAACGTTGGTTAGAGAGCATTCTGAAGTCAAATCATAGGAATATGGTTTGTGCAACACACCCCTGCATAGTTTCCCTTGAACCCAACACGGAAACCATGTTCATAAGTGGTGGGCTGACTTCCATCACGCCTTTGTCTAACAACAGCGACTGGAAGGTTGTCCAAAATCCTGCACCACAATTTGACAATGGTGAGTCTAAATGGAAAAATGAACATTAGCAATACACTCCTGAGATTTTAGTGCAGGATAAATCTGAAATGAATAATTGCAACTACAAGTCCATAACTTACATATTCACCCTATATTCGTCATCAATTTTTTCTTTGAAGTTCTTTGCAGCTTCAGCATCGAGCTTTACTCGACATGCCACCTGGCATGGAAGCTCTTGTAGCATATTGAACTGTTAAGTAATGCACAAAACATAAATGCCGCATCAGCTAAGAATATGTAATAGAATATAGTAAATGAGCATACTGTTCTAAATCTCCATAATAACGCACAGATGTGAAAGCCGTGCCCGAGACAGTGTCGCCTGAGGCGTAGGTCATGGCGGAAAGCCCTTTCCAAGTTCATTACAGACATAATAGCCTCATCATAGAACCTATAGCTGACAGGGCTCTGTACCTCCTCTAGGGGAGAGCACAGGTCGAGCGGGTTCAAAAACACAAGACCCTTTCGGGTTTCGGGTGACTTATATGGATATCCGATCTTATCAATTGAAAAAAAAAATCGGGTTTTTAATTTCGGGTTGGGGTCGGGTTTCGGGTTGATTCGGATTACAAAATTAGCAATCAAAAATGAAATTTAAAATACAATTGCAAAGTTGCAATCCAAAAAGCAATCATAAAATCTGAAAACTTCACACAATTGCAGAGTTGCAGTCCAAACAACATTAAACTTTAATTAGGGTTCGAAGTAATGAGAGAGGCGCTGAACAATTAGGTTTAGGTATATAAGGAGTAATATATACCCTGAATGAATAAGCTCTTGTAGTATGAATCGGATCAGGTTTGGGTATTTCGGGTCGGGTTTTCAAATCCAAACAAAAATTTCGGATATATTCGGTCGGGTCATTCAGGTAGGGTTGGGTTTGCTCTCCCCTAGCCTCATCCAGGCTGCTCCAACCTACAGAAGCCTCATGTGACCTACATAAGTTTCTTCTTCTCTCTTCCCTTCTCTGTCTTTAGTTTCTCTCTCTGGCTTAGATTCTGCCAGCACTCTGACAGTCTGACTCTCTATAGATCCCATCCTTTCTTTTCTTATTTCTCATTGAGTTCTTTACCGCTATTTTAGTGCTTCCACCAATATAAATTTCAATAGTAAAGTGGTCAGTG